TTTCTGACTTTTGCAAAACCATGATTCTGAAACCATTCAAGCCACAAGTAAATAATGTATATCATGTCTGCTTCTAAGCACTTGCAGCATGGGTTCATGAGCTTTGGTTGGTATCAGAATTATCTGCACTGCCTTTTACAAATACATATGTCCAGGCCCCACTACAGACTTATGGAATACGATTAACCAGAGATAGAAGCAGACCATCTGTGCTTTTAAAAAAATCCCCAAGAGAACCAGCACAGCAAATTCTGATGTGCACCAAAATTTAAGAGTAACTACATTATAGACTAGAGCAATAATTAGTAATGGTCAAACAATTAATTATTAATTGGTCAGAGATAAATATAATTGACAACATAAATTATTTTACCCCAGGTGATTTGACAGTTTCCTCTACTAGACTCAAATCTCTTTGGAGGAAATACTGATAAAATCTCATGATCACATTTGTACCCCATACCCAGTCATATAGCAGATGCTCAATAAAGTTTAGAAAAATAAAGAAATACAAATCTACATACATGAATATCAACTTTAATCAGTTTTCTTATTTCATTTGTATATAAGAAAAACTTCTAGATGTACACAAAGAGGAAAAAAATGAAATGCCAGGATCTTCACTTCATTTTATCACTTAGAGGTACTATACAAGAAAGTACAACATATCAGGTTCCCAGAAAGGAAATGCATATTCCTCTTACCCATCTTTTCCACCATGAATGCATTTTAAGCCTCAATTATTAAGAGCAATTAAAATAAGCCATTTGTATATGATAGTCATAAAGTTCCCAGGAAGAAATTAGATTACTCCCAAATCCCTCACCCGGCCATCCCCCATACACCCATGCGCTGACCTGACTGCTCATCACTGCGTTACTCTTTTGCAACATCTGCCTCAGAAGTTGCCTGCATCTTTTCAAAAACATAGCAGTTTCTGTCCTTGCACAAAGTGGCCCACAACGGATATTCCAGATCCCACATTTGATTTGAGATATCAGTAGCTCAAATGCAGAGGAAATGCAGAACCAGAAATCCTAACATGCAGGTACAAAATGCAATGGGTGCATTGGATTGTAATGATATACAAATTCATCCGATGTGTTAAACTCTATACACCTTATGCTAGTTCTCTACTTATTCTGAATCCATCCAACAATGACAAATATTCTCCCACTTACAGAGTGCTCCGCAAAAATTGCTGAGTAAGGGCACTCTAATTGGTTCATTCCTAATAAATCACTATAATTTATGTTGCACACATCTCCTTGGAGAGGGGCTGATGTGAGCCCCTAATAAGAGGCTGATGTGCATAACATATTTCCTCAAAAAGAAGAATAAGAAAGAAATGCCTTTCACTGTATTCTTACTCCGGACATGCAGTTGTAAAGCAGAAATTTGATGGTTGAGAGCAGGGCATTAAGCAATGTCGAGAGAGATCAGTTGCCAAATGGAGCTTATAATAGGGCTTTTTAAAGTAACTCAGATAAAAATTAATGTTACATTGCCTCAGTATCAATGCCATCTTCACCATTAGTATGGCTAGGATTGCTGCTAAGTACTCGAGAAAGGGGAACTTAAAGGGGAGGGGTGGCTCCACCACCTGTTACTTAGAAAGTCCTGAGATGCATATACACTTGTGCAGTCCACCTATAAACCCCACCACTATCACCATGGCTGATGTCCACCATGTCTTATCCGTACCCCCTTGAATTCAATACTTCCTAGCCTGAAAAATACATAAGAACCACCTGGAGCACTTCTTAAAACAGATGCCTGAACCCACCCCTAGAGATTCTGATTCAGTAGGTTGAGGTGCGGTCCAAATATTGGCATTTCCCGAAGTCTCCCAGGTGATACAGATGCTATTGGTCTGTGGACCACACTTTGAGTGACGTTCCTCCAAGTGGTTTTTTTCTGATTCCTTTTATACTTCAGCATTGTTTCTGGGTGTTCATGTTAACTTGGTAAACTAAGAATGCTGAAGGCAAACCCACTGGGGGATTTGGCCTGTATTGTATCATTCTAAGCATTTCCCTAGGAAGGACCCTGAATAGGAGAAGGCCACTCAACAGTCCCCTGTAAGTATGATGTTTAGATTGGTAAACTCACTAGAAAGTAAATTGGCCAGGATCCACTGTAAGACAGTCTGACTCCAAAGACCATGTTCATTCCATTACACCACAACTATCATTAAAGTCATAAGGAGATGCAATGATGTACAGAGAGAGGACCCAAAAGTAGCTGCAGTCAGAACCTTTGGGAATACCAACTGTTATGGGTTGAGTTGTGCCCCCCAAAAAAGATATGTTGCAGTCCTAACCCCACCCCCCAGTAAATCAGAATGGACTTTATTTGGAAACAGAGTCTTTACAAAGGTGATCAAGGTAAAATAAGATAATTAGGATGGGCCCTCATTCAATGTGAATGGTGTTCCTATAAAAAAAAGGTAAATTTGAACAGAGACAGACTTGCACAAAGGGAAAATGATGTAAAGACACATGGGAAGAAGATGGCCATGTGACTGTAAAGATGCATCAGCAAGCCAAGGAACACCAAGGATTACTGGAAGCTAGAAAAGGCAAGGAAGGATTCTCCCATAGAGCCTTCAGAGAGAGCACAACTCTGCAGACATCTTGATTTCAGACTTCTAGTGACTAGCATTATGTGACAATAGATTTCTGTTGTTTTAAGACACCCAGTTTTGGGTACTTTCTCACAGCAGCCCTAGAAAACACGCCAATATTTACAGGAACAGAAGGAAGTGCCCACAGAGGAGGCTAAGAGGCCATGGTTGGATGGAGAGAAGTGCTATATCATAGGACCAAAGGGGAAAGAGGCTGAATTGAATTTGGATTAAAGAGGAACATGTAAGAATTTCACAGAAATTACCTAAACAATTGTCTTCCCTTTAAAATGACATTTCTGGTCAAGTGAAAAACTTTAACTGGTCATGTGATGAGGAAATCTCAAAACATTTTTGAGACATCAGTTGTTAGCAGGAAAGAACTATAACAAATCCTTACATGTCCATAGGACCTTACTACTCAAAACATTTTTATCATTGATTCTCAGAACAATCTGATAAGGTAGACATTGACTCCATTGTTTAAATAAGAGCTGAGAAAAAAACTAAACTTTAAGTGAAATTATAAAATGTACAAGCATTAGGTTAACTGTTTCCTTATTTAATATCTACAATAATCTTCTGAGGGAGATGTCATTCACCTTTCACAACAGAAATATAGAAATCTTAGGTAAATTGTCCAGGATCAGACAACTGGTAAGTGGTTTTTAAAAAAGGCATTCAAACTCATATCTGTTGCCTCCAAAACTCATGTTCTTTCCACTACATGGTAACAGGCCTCCATGGGGACTGCTGAACTCCATGAAATAATTACTAAAATGAGACAGGTACTGAAAATGGAACTGTTTTTTTTTTCCTTCTGACTCCCCTTTGCCCATTTCTCCCACCTCCCACCCCCTGCCTCTGGCAACCACCAGTCTATTCTCTAACTCTATCAGCTTAGTTTTTTGGGGGTTTTTTGGGGTTTTTTTTTTTGTGGTACACAGGGGTTTTTTGGGGTTTTTTTTTTTGTGTGTGGTACACGGGCCTCTCACTGTTGTGGCCTCTCCCGTTGCAGAGCACAGGCTCCGGACGCACAGGCTCAGCGGCCATGGCTCATGGGCCTAGCCACTCCACAGCATGTGGGATCTTCCTGGACTGGGGCACGAACCCGTGTCCCCTGCATCGGCAGGCGGACCCTCAACCACTGCGCCACCAGGGAAGCCCAGCTTAGTTTTTTTATTTGCCTTTTTAAGAGTCCATGTGTAAGAGACATCATACAATATTTGTCTTCCTCTCCCTGACCTATATTTCACTTAGCATAATCCCCTTGAGGTCCATCCAAGTTGTTGCAGATGGCAAGATTTCATTCATTTTCATGGCTACATAATATCCCATTTCATATATATACCACAATTTCTTTATCCATTCATCCATCAATGGATATTTAGGTTGTTTCCATATCTTGGCTACTGTAAATAGTGCTGCAATGAACAAGGGGGTTCATATATCTTTTCCAATTAGTGTTTTTGTTTTCCTTGGAAAAATACCCCAAAATAGAATTGCTCTTGGTTTCACTGATCTTTCCTATTTTTTTTTTTTTTCCTGGTCTCTACTGTACTTATTTCCTCTCTGATCTTTATCATTCCCTTCCTTCTGCTGACTTTGGGCTTTGTTGGGTCTTCTTTCTCTAATTTCTTTAGATTGTAGTTTAGGTTATTTGAGAATACTCTGCCCATTTTTTAATCAGGTTATTTTTTTGTTGTTGAGTTGTATGAGTTATTTACATATTTTTAATGTTAACCCTTTATCGGATATATGATTTTCAAATATTTTCTCCCATTCAGTAGGTTGCATTTTTATTTTGTTGATGATTTCCTTTGCTGTGCAGAGGCTTTTTAGTTTGATATAGTCCGCTTGATTTTTTTTTGCTTTTGTTGCTTTTCCTTTGGGTCTGAGAGTCAAAAACTTATTGCCAAGACATTGTCAAGGAGCTTACCTCTGTTTTCTTCTAGGAGTTTTATGGTTTCAGGTGTTAAGTTTAAGCCCTTATTCCATTTGGAGTTAATTTTTTTGTATGATGTAAGATAGTGGTCCAGTTTCATTCTTTTGCATGTGGCTATCCAGTTTTCCCAATAATTATTACAATGAGATAGGTACTGAAAGTGGATTTATGAAACTATATCTTCGTAACTTCACAGAAATAGTTAAAAGATATTTCTCCTATCTGAGAGAACTTTATGCACAGAGTAGCTAAAGAAAACTCACTTAGAAGTAATTAGAGTTTATTGCTGCCAAAATAAAATGTATTTCCCATCAATGTGTATTAGTAAAATGGACCTCCTGGTCAGGTGAATAACATTAACTGGCTATGTGGTTAGGAAATCTCAAAGCAGAATTTGGAGGTCACAATCAGAATTATGTGTATACTTACTTATTCTTCTCCTTGATAAAGGGTGGAAGTCAGCTTAGGACACAAACCATACGGCACACTGCAATGTAAAATTTAAGTATTTTAATAACATCATGTTTTCTTAACACACTGAAGATTAAATAAAGTTTTATGGTTTAATAAAGATTTCTCACAGGACCTAAAAGGTTTTTTTTCAAAGACTAACCTACTTCATTTTAAGGTAATTTTCATGCATCTTTAAGTTCTAAAAGAAGATTTCAATACTGCTTAAAATCCAAGAATCCAGAGGAGCAAAGATATAGCATTCTTTTTGGACTCACAGAGTAATAAGGGTTGTCCAAGAGGCATTTAATTTATCCATGTAGTCTTAATACCTTATAGAAATGTATTTCAAATAATGATCATAAATAAATAATAATGAGTCCTTCATGGGATATCCTACCTGTCCCCAGGCTCTCTTCTTCCCACAAACAAAATTACTTGAAGCCTCAACTGTGCCCCAGTGTTTAGGATTCTGATCTTATGGAGAAATATTATGAACAACCGTAGCCCAAAACTTAGGGTCAAACAGAATCAGCTAAGTCTCCTTGGCTGCTAGACCAAGGCAGGTGCTTGAAACCAAATTCTAACTAGCTGTATTTAGTTCTAGTTTCTGCACTGAAGTCTTTCTTTCAGTAACACGCATAGTGCATGTATTCCTCCAGAGCTGAGACTTTGGCTTCATCTGGCCAGTCTCCCTGCTGGAACAGTCTTGCCCTAAATTCCAGTCTAGTGGCTGAGAACTTGCAATTCGTGGAATGGTTTCTCTGGTCCTACCAGCCTAAAGGTCTGCCTGGACTCCTAAGCACTTGCATTATATTACTTTATCTTACCTATCAAAACACTTATAACTCCATGATGAGCCTTTATTCTGTTCATTATATACTTTTTAATAATGGGCTCTGCATCTCATCAACTGTATTAAACCACATATATCATTTTCTCATCTGTTCCATTCCAATGAAGTGGCCTTTCAGTATACCCTATCCTGCCAAGGTTAACTGTGCGAAATCAGCCCAGTCCTGAACACAACCTGTTTTAGGGATCACTTCTTGGATCCACCTAAATGCAGAATTGTCAGCACCTTGTCTTTCCTTCCCTCCTTTAGGGTCTTCATCATCAAAACTTCATAATTTCTACCCACCTCAATCGTTTATAAAGTACAAAATTAGATCCTCAAAAAAATAAAGGAGCTAGCGATATCAGCCAAAATGACAAAGAAGTAACAAATGTTTATAAGTAGTATGCCTCTCATTCCTAAAATAAAAATTGAAAAGATGCCATTTTAATTAATATTTCAGGGTATGTCTTAAATCCTGCCTTTTTTTCAGAAGGATAAATAATATTTGCATTTAATGAAAATTATATGGTAATTGAATCTCCAGAATTCAGTACAATAATCTTTAAATTTTACTTGTTGGTGTTTTGTTTTGCCCCAAATAATTTTGGAAATAAGTCACGTTCTAAGTACCTTTGCAAGAAGTCTATTCTTCAAAGGAAAGGCCTACATTGCCTTACATATAATATCTGATAATTCCATCCAATATTAAACCCATAAATACCTACACATTGGTTGAAACCACATGCTGGGGCATTTTATTAAGATTTATAAAAGCTTTGCTGATTGTTGTGAGGGGGACCTTCAAGATGGTGGAGGAGTAAGACGTGGAGATCACCTTCCTCCCCACAAATACATCAAAAATAAATCTACAAGTGGAACAACTCCTACAAAACACCTACTGAATGCTGGCAGAAGACCTCAGACTTCCCAAAAGGCAAGAAAATCCCCACGTACCTGGGTAGGGCAAAAGAAAAAAGAAAAAACAGACAAAAGAATAGGGACAGGACCTGCACCTCTGGGAGGGAGCTGTGAAGGAGGAAAAATTTCCACACACTTAGGAAGCCCCTTCACTGGTAGAGACGGGGACTTGCCTGGGGGTGGTGGTAGGGAAGCTCTGGAGCCACGGAGGAGAGCGCAGCAACAGGGGTTCAGAGGGCAAAGTGGAGAGATTCCAGCACAGAGGATCGGTGCCAACGAGCACTCACCAGCCCGAGAGGCTTGTCTGCTCACCCGCCAGGGCAGGTGGGGGCTGGGAGCTGAGGTTCGGGCTTCAGAGGTCAGATCCCAGGGATAACACTGGGGTTGGCTGCATGAACACAGCCTGAAGGGGGCTAGTGCACCACAGCTAACCGGGAGGGAGTCCGGGAAAAAGTCTGGAACTGCCTAAGAGGCAAGAGACCATTGTTTCGGGGTGCATGAGGAGAGGGGATTCCTTTCCCGTCTGCCCATAGAAAGCAGAGCACCGCCTAAACGAGCTCCAGAGACAGGCACAAGCTGAGGCTATCAGCTCGGACGCCAGAGTCGGGCGTGAAATGCTAAGGCTGCTGCCGCTGCCACCAAGAATCCTGTGTGCAAGCGCAGCTCACTATCGACACACGACGCCCCCCGACTGGGAGACTGCGCAGCCCGCCACTGCCAGGGTCCCATGATCCATGGACAACTTCCCTGGAGGAACACACGGTGCGCCTCAGGCTGCAGCAACATCACATCGGCCTCTGCCGCCACAGGCTCAACCTGCATTCCAACTACGACAACCATACCCCTCCCTCCCCTGGCCTGAGTGAGCCAGAGCCCCCTCATCAGCCGCTGCTTTAACCCCGTCCTGTCTGGGCAGGAACAGATGCCTGAGGGTGACCTACACGCGGAGGCGGGGCCAAAACCAAAGCTGAGCCCAGGAGCTGTGCAAACAAAGAAGAGAAAGGAAATTTCTCTGTGCAGCCTCAGAAGCAGTGGATTAAATCCCCACAATCAAACTGATGTATCCTGCATCTGTTGAACACCTGAACAGACAACGAATCATCCCAAAATTGAGGCAGCGGACTTTGGGAGCAGCTGTAGACTTGGGGTTTGCTGTCTGCGACTGAATTGCTTCTGATTTTTTGTTTATCCTAGTTTAGTTTTTAGCGCTTGTTATCATTGGTGGATTTATTTACTGGGTTTGTTTCTTTTTTTTTTTTTTTTTTACATCTTTATAGGGGTATAATTGCTTTACAATGGTATCTTAGTTTCTGCTTTATAACAAAGTGAATCAGTTATACATATACATATGTTCCCATATTTCCTCCATCCCGCATCTCCCTCGCTCCCACCCTCCCCATCCCACCCATCCAGGTGGTCACAAAGCACAGAGCTGATCTCCCTGTGCTATGCGGCTGCTTCCCACTAGCTGTCTACCTTACGTTTGGTAGTGTTATATATGTCCATGCCACTCTCTCTCTTTGTCACATCTTACCCATCCCCCTCCCCATATCCTCAAGTCCATTCTCTAGTAGGTCTGTGTCTTTATTCCTGTCTTACCCCTAGGTTCTTCATGACATTTTTTTTCCTTAAATTCCATATATATGTGTTAGCATACGGTATTTGTTTTTCTCTTTCTGACTTACTTCACTCTGTATGACAGACTCTGGGCCATCCACCTCACTACAAAAACTCAATTTCGTTTCTTTTTATGGCTGAGTAATATTCCATTGTATATATGTGCTTCAACTTCTTTATCCATTCATCCGATGATGGACACTTTGGTTGTTTCCATCGCCTGGCTATTGTAAATAGAGCTGCAATGAACATTTTGGTACATGACGGTTTTGAATTATGGTTTTCTCAGGGTATATGCCCAGTAGTGGGATTGCTGGGTCATGTGGGATTTCTATTTGTAGTTTTTTAAGGAACATCCACACTGTTCTCCATAGTGGCTGTGCCAATTCACATTCCCACCAGTGTTCCCTTTTCTCCACACCCTCTCCAGAATTTATTGTTTCTAGATTTTTTGATGATGGCCATTCTGACTGGTGTGAGATGATATCTCATTGTAGTTTTGATTTGCATTTCTCTAATGATTAATGATGTTGAGCATTCTTTCTTCTGTTTGTTGGCAATCTGTATATCTGCTTTGGAGAAATGTCTATTTAGGTCTTCTGCCCATTTTTGGATTGGGTTGTTTGTTTTTTTGGTTATTAAGCTGCATGAGCTGCTTATAAATTTTGGAGATTAATCCTTTGTCAGTTGCTTCATTTGCAAATATATTCTCCCATTCTGAGGGTTGTCTTTTGGTCTTGTTTATGGTTTCCTTTGCTGTGAAAAAGCTTTTAAGTTTCGTTGGTCTCATTTGTTTATTTTTGTTTTTATTTCCATTTCTGTAGGAGGTAGGTCAAAAAGGATCTTGCTGTGATTTATGTCATAGAGTGTTCTGCCTATGTTTTCCTCTAAGAGTTTGATAGTTTCCATACTGACATTAGGTCTTTAATCTATTTTGAGCTTATTTTTGTGTATGGTGTTGGGGAGTGTTCTAATCTCATACTTTTACATGTACCTGTCCAGTTGTCCCAGCACCACTTATTGAAGAGGCTGTCCTTTCTCCACTGTACATTCCTGCCTCCTTTATCAAAGATAAAGTCACCATATGTGCGTGGGTTTATCTCTGGGCTTTCTATCCTGTTCCATTGATCTATATTTCTATCTTTGTGCCAGTACCATACTGTCTTGATTACTGTAGCTTTGTAGTATAGTCTGAAGTCAGGGAGCCTGATTCCTCCAGCTCCGTTTTTCATTCTCAAGATTGCTTTGGCTCTTCGGGGTCTTTTGTGTTTCCATACAAATTGTGAAACTTTTTGTTCTAGTTCTGTGAAAAATGCCAGTGGTAGTTTGATAGGGATTGCACTGAGTCTGTAGATTACTTTGGGTAGTAGAGTCATTTTCAAAATGTAGATTCTTCCAATCCAAGAACATGGTATATCTCCCCATCTATTTCTATCATCTTTAATTTCTTTCATCAGTGTCTTATAATTTTCTACATACAGGTCTTTTATCTCCTTGGGTAGGTTTATTCCTAGATATTTTATTCTTTTTGTGGCAATGGTAAATGGGAGTGTTTTCTTGATTTCACGTTCAGATTTTTCATCATTAGTGTATAGGAATGCAAGAGATTTCTGTGCATTAATTTTGTATCCTGCTACTTTACCAAATTCATTGATTAGCTCTAG